AACAAGTCAGATATAAAGGGAAATATCATCATAAATAAGGCGAGGTTGGTAGCACAGGGATACACACAAATAGAAGGTGTTGACTACGATGAGACATTCGCCCTAGTTGCTTGTATAGAGGCTGTAAGATTGTTGGTGTCTGTTGCATGCTCTTTAGGATTCACTCTATTTCAAATGGATGTGAAAACAACATTCCTCAATGGATGGATCAAGAAGGAGATCTATGTCGAACAACCAAAGGGATTTGAAGATCCCTTTCATCGTCATCACGTGTATCGTCTAAGGAAAGCTTTCTATGGATTGAAGCAAGCTCCAAGAGCTTAGTATGAAATACTGTCCAATTTCCTGCTGGAGATGGAGTATGTTTGTGGCTCAACATACAAGACATTGTTCATTAAGCTAAAAAGGGATGATCTGATGATTGCACAGGTTTATGTTGATGACATTGTGTTTGGGTCAACGACTGAATTCTTGAGAAAGGAATTCATGAGATTTATGGAAGCTGAATTTGAAATGAGCATGATAGGAGAGCTTAACTATTTTCTGGGCTTACAAGTGAAACAACTGTCTGATGGAGTTTTTCTAAGCCAAACGAAGTTCGGGCTTCGTGATGCAAAGGTTGTTAGAACACCCATCGGACAACATGATAAGATGTCAAAGGATGAAAATGGAAAACCAGTCGATCAGAAATTCTATAGAAGTATGATTGGAAGCTTGCTATACTTAACTTCCGGTCGTCCAGATATTTCATTCAGTGTGGGTGTCTGTGCAAGATTTCAATCGGCACCGAAGGAATCTCATATGAAGGCTGCTAAGAGGATTCTCAGATACATTAAAAGGACAACAAAGCTTGGACTGTGGTACTCGAACAGGTCCAACTTTGACCTTATTAGTTTTACTGATTCAGACTGGGCAGGTTGTTGTGATGACAGGAAAAGCACCACTGGTGGATGCTTTTACATCGGAGACAACCTTATTAGCTAGAATTCGAAGAAACAAAATTCAGTTGCACTGTCCACTGCCGATGCGGAGTACATTGCTGTTGGGAGCTACTGTGCCCAACTGATGTGGATTCGTCAGATGCTTAAGGATTACGGAATTGATCAAGACTCATTCACTCTTCTATGTGATAATACAAGTGCCATCAACATATCTAAAAATCTTGTCCAACATGGGAGAAGCAAGCACATTGACATCCGTTACCACTTCATCAGTGATTTGGTGGAAAACGGGATTGTGATTTACAGCATGTTGGAACACTTGAGCAGAAGGCGGATATATTTACAAAAAGTGTCGACGGCGATCGGTTTGAAAAACATCGAAGAGACCTTGGTATGTGCTTCTGCCCTAACTGATCTGCATACATGGGCTTAATAAATTCTCCAATATATTTATGTTGATTGGGATATTCTTGGTGAATATTGGAGAATGAAAATAATTTGAAAAGATTTTTTTGAAAAATCCAAAAAGAAGAAGTATTGCGAAGAGACTTTTATTGAGCAATGGCAAGAGTCAGATTTGATGCCATGGTTGATGTTTTGATTATGGATTAATTCGACGTGGAGGACATTTCAATCCTACACTGGATTTTGAAGAATTTCCAGGCCTTGTGATGTTGCACAAATCATTCTTGATGTTGCAAAGTTGTTACTGCAACAAAACTGATGCCGAATCAACCGAATTTGATGTTGTTGTTCATGTTGGTGCTGCTGCTGATGTTGATGTTGATATTGCTGCTACAAGCATTTTTCAGCGGACCAAATAAGAAGGAATTCGTGAAAATGGAACAAGTGAACTTTTTTGTGAAGCAACTGAAATTCTTGATGATATTATTGAAACAGCTTCTAGTGACGGTGATAAAGTTGCTGCTGCAACCATTTCTCAGCAAAGTGAGGATGTTTTTGAAGGTCTATGTTCTTTTTGTCAAATGCTCCCGCGAAGAGGGAGTAATGTAGGAAAATGGGAGATTATATTTTCAGGAGGAGTTGCCCAAGTTCTGATGCTGTCTGCTTTGCTGATTGTTGATTTTATCTGTTGTTAATATTTTCGTTGGAAGTCCGAAGTGATTACAACCATATCAATGTGAAGGTTGTCTGTAGCCTTTTTATGTTGTTGGCATGTAATAGTTGGACTCACTCTTGGATGATTGAGTGCGTGAGCAGGTTAATTACTGCACTTTTATTCGTAGTTTCATATGCCAAAAAGGGGGAGAATGTGAATGGAAATTCCCCTAATTTATTTTCGCATATGAACTAATGGTGTCTTAATTTCTGCAGCAAAGACTTTCCAAAAGACAAAAGACATATTTGAAGAAAGATCAAAACATGGAAACTCACTCCTTCCATTTCGGTGCAAAGGGAAATTAATATGGAATCTTTTATTCCAGGAATGTGAGGAATGTGAGTGATTTGAAGATCATACTTTAGAAAGAGGAATATGGAGTGAAGTTTTAACACTCTATCCATATCGATTCCCCTTAGTTTGAATGAGTTTTTGACAGAAAAATTCGCCGGAGAGGTCGACGTGCTCAGAGTTAAAGGAGTTCCAACCGGAGAGGATGATCAAACTCTGAGTGGCTCTACTATATAGTCGTTGTCAGTACACGTTTGTGACAACGTGAACCTATTGAGGTATTTTCCAAGGTAGACCATGATAGGAGTTTGAGTTGAAGGAGTTGTGATTGTTTATACTCTGTAATCAACACTCATTAGTAGAGTGTCTCCTGGATTAGAATCCCCTGGATGTAGATTGGTTGATAATCGAACCGGGTCAACAAACACCTTGTCTTATTGTTGTTTTATGTTCAGCATTTTTTTCATTGTTGAAACGTAGTTATAACTGTGAACCGCCCACGCTTAGTGAGTTGGCCCTTTAAAGTGTTCGAATGTGTTTTGTTCGATAAATCACTTCCCCAACAGCCTACATATTACTCTGATCTAATTTTTTTGGCTAGAACCTGATGGCCTTCCTTCATCGCCATCGTCCTCATTAACTTTTTAATGTTCACTTTTTAGCTTTTTACCGCTTCTTTTTATGAGTCACCATTCTCTTATTCTTTTCGTCTGTCAGTAACTCCATATATTTGCTTACCTGCTCGGCTGCTCTGCCCCTTCCGGTGACAGCCAACGGATGATATTGCTTTCTCCTCCTTGCTCGTGGCCGATGATAGCAATTCTATAAATATTTTTTAATTTGAATTTAATTATAAAATTAAACTTTTACATATTAAAGGATCAAAATATAAATATAACATTTATTTAACATATTTTAACATAAAAAGTATTTTTAGCATAATATAAAAATAAAAAGGTATTTGTTTGATTTAATCTTTTCTAAAGAATTTTCTTACGAGTAATACAATTTTAAAAATCATCCAAATAAAAGTATATACTTAATGTTAATACAATTTTTTTAATATATTATCCAAAAAAATAAAAATAGAATATACAAATTTAAATATATACACAAAAAAATAAAAATAACAAAAATATAGTATTTTTCTATCATATCTTTACAATTTTACTTAACTCACAATAAAAATATAATATCCTATTATAAAATTATAAAGTTAAACAAGCCCACTAAAATAAACAAATAAAAACATAATTAATAAATTAATTAATATTAAAATAATTTATTTAAAACTTAAACTTACCTTTATATATTTTATATAAAATTACTAATATCAATATATATATATATATATATTTGGGGGCACTTGGGCCCCCTTAAAAAATGGGCCGCCCAGGGCCGGGTCTCGTCTCCCATTGAGTTTTTATAAATATTTCGCATGCAAATCGATGCTTGGCCCTAGGGGTCCTGTTTACCACTACCTCGACCAACTAATTTTTCCAATCCGAAATGAAAGTTCATTTCATGTTGTTGCAATCTCCTAAAACCCTCATAAGATAGCTCTAAAAATCCATCTCATGTTTCATTAGGTTTTGGATTCCTTTTCACTAAGGATATCACCTTACATTTTCTTTAGTGTTTCTCTACTTCATTCCATAAATGATCCATCATCATACAAAATATCAATTTGTTACCTTAGAAATTATACCTCCGTTTTGATTTTCTATATTTACAATTTTGTAGTAGGAATTGCACGATAGTATTTTTAGTTGATATTGTAACATCTTTCTTCTTTCTCATTAATACGTTGATTTTGAACTCTGACCAGTGATATTCAAATTAGAAAATAACAAGGATCATAAGTGAATCGGAATAGGAGCTATAAGATCTCATTTATGGTAATACTTACCTACTATTTGTGCTCCCTGAAGTACTTGTCTTATTGTTGATTCACTACTATTCGTACTGTTGTTTATGCTCTTCCTACTCATGTTGTTGATTTTATGATGAGATCGAAGGCTAAAATGTGATGTTGTTTGTATTTTGAGCTTATATGTTGAAAATATGATGGTCATTGTATTAACAAAGTTTATAAACTATTATCAAAAAGATATTTATATAAAAAATTAGAGAAGAATGAATAAACAGACCACATATATATATATAAAACATTTAATTTGATATTTATATAATTATTTGATGATTTTGTATTTAAAAAATGAGTAGAAATTATTTTATTTATTTGATTATATTTTTTCTTAGGGATAAAAACAAATTATACTATGGTGAAATTGAGATTAAATGTAAGTATTAAAAACAGTTAGAAGTGAAAGTCGTGGAGAACTCTGGTTCCATTAGATTGCCATATTCTTCTCCTTCATCCCTATTCTTTTGCCACTTTTTAGATGCACGTTTATATCGTTTTTTCTTTTATTAGTGAATTTAAGTGGCCTTGAGGTACAAGATAGATACATACATATTACATATATATATATACATATATAAAGCCAGAGATACAGAAACTACTTGAGTATATCATTCTCCTTTTTTCTCTGCATGCAATCAACCGCTCTTGAACAAATCCTTTTCATTATTCAATCACTGCTCGATCAATTTCCCTAAGACAGAATAGAATTCGTTTTCCTGCAATGGGAGATTCTCAATTATCTGGTAATGAAATCATTCTCCGTCTTCTTTATGAGCTATGCGAAGTGAAAGTCCCATTTCCTTGCGATTTCTACCCTAACATTCCAAAGTTGGACATGTATGAGGACAAAGGGCCCCAAGAGTTGTTCGATCAGTACGACGATCATCAAGAAATTCACTTTCTCACAACGCTCAAGGTACACAACTGCAATTCTTCCTCCCGCCAATGCGGCAAAGGGAGGTGGATCCACCAGAGATTTGTCCCTGTGTATAACAACCGAATGAAAACAATAGGGATGAGAGAGGAATTCATCTACTCCGAGCCCAAAACGAAGAAAACGGACAGTATTCTTGGAAAGACATATTTGTTGAGAGAATATAGCCTCGATGACAAGTACAGAAAATGTAGCAAAAAAGACTACAAAGAGAATGTATTCTGGACAGTCGTGAAGAAAGATGCTTCGGATTCATCCTGCTTTGCTGAACCTCCGCTGGGGAGTTGGATTGATGTTGACACGTATTTGGATGCCCTTTTCAAGCTAAATTACTATCAGTGGGGGCCGACACCCCACTTCATTCGTTTCGTTAATAGAGAGAATTGATTTCGAACTGATGTGCATGGTAAGTCTGCATCTATCTTGTTGTTTCTTGATTTGATCGACTGATTTCTGTATATGAATCTTGAATTTTCATCACTTGTATGGTATGGTAAAAACAGAAAGCAATCAGTAGTTGATCTGTGCTTGATCTTTCTATCAACATTTCCTTTCTCTTATTCTTTGGAGTCATTATTGTTTCTTGATCCATTTTTAAAGCACGTTCACAAAGAAATGTGCAGATAATAACTTTGTAAAAATTAAGTTAAATATATAGTCATTCCACACATTTTACTATCATCCATCTTTGCCTCACGACTTATGCATTAATAATGGAAATCAGCTATCTCAAACAGGGAAAGAAATAGGAATACAAAATTTTCTATTCTTTCTGCATTTTTATTCTAACTCCATTTTCTCTTGTATGTGCCAAGTGACAAGAAAAAACAAATGATAAGCATCAACATTTTGGAAATACAATGTCATGCTCTTGGTACACACAAAAACTATTTCCCATCACAAAAAATGCATTTGTTGATTACTTGTACATAATGTTGTGAGGTGCTTTCCGGGGGTTTGGCCGTCGGTTCACGCTATAATCCGTTGGCTGGTGAGTTGTATCATCCTTAGTTTTGTGCTCGCCAGTTTGGCCTCACCTAAGGCATTCCATGTGTTGGTTTCATTCTAACGCCACCCGTTGGCCCGCATCATGTCATGATATAGGCAAGGAAGATGCTGAAACTTGGTGGTCCTATGTGAAAAGGATAGCAGACCTTTCGCCATTCTTTTACACATTCGAGCCTGGTACCAATGCTACATTTGATCTTTGGTGGAAAGATTGAAAGAATTATTTGAGAGGTATTCGACCTCCATGCCAAGCAGCCCTAACACGTTTTAGTCCGTGCAGATGCCTTTTCTAGACACGGCTAAAGCCCTGCCCGGATTTCAGGCCAATATAAGAAAGCCAGACTCGAGGCTTCATTGGACCATTTAGGTGATGCTTCTGAATGTCTGAAAGTGTTATAGTCACTTCAAACTGTCAACGAGGGTAACTTAAGGAAAATAATCTTCTCCATTACTTTTATCATTAATTTTTCAGTTTATTAAAATTTATAACCTTTGTTAAGAACTGATTACTTTCAACAAAAAAATTTAAAATAAAATTATCCAAAATTTTTTTAAATTTCAAAATTTTAAATTATAAATTTAACATAAATTATATATATTTTCTAAATTCATTAACTAATTCTCATACTTTATCTATCATATTTTAAAATTATTGTTTTCTTTATCTTTTCCTTAACTCCATATATTATTTGGGCACCAATTGGCAATAAAAATAATAATTCTTAATTATATTGTTAGTATATTTATTTTATACGTTTATATTATACTAAAATTATTTTGATGTTATTTTTAATTAATATATATGTTGATTTATTTAATCATTAAAATTTATATAGGTTATTATTTAATAATTAAAATATAATATTATATAAAAATATTATTAGCCAATAAAATATATAGAAATATGTATAAATAAATAAATTATTTTTATATATTATTACATAATAAAAATGTATAGAAATGAATATATTATTGTAGATTTATAAAATAATAAAAGCAATGGGTTTAAGGTGATTTACCCAACGAGTGATAAATGAAATGATTTAAATATTGAGATAAATATGACATGAATGAGAAAGATAAAAGAGATAATGAAACAAAGGTACTGACCGACTTATAAGAGATGTTTTAATATAGTTCGTTCTTAATTTTTATTTTCTTAAAATATTAATAAACATACTTATAAAATGATTGTTATTAAAATACATCATTCTTATTTATTCTTAAAAAATACTCAATCCATCTCATATCTATCTATCCGTTTACTTTTAGTAGAAATAAAGGTAAAAAAACTAAACTAACTTTATTAGTGTTGTATGATATGAAGGTAATGATATTTGCGTAATATATTGTAAATTGAAAGTGTATTTTTAATGTTATATAGATAGTACAATTACTAAAATAATGAAACGAATACTTTAATATGGGACGGGCCAAAATAAAAAAATTGATAGATTTTTAAGGAACGAATGTAATATCTTATATATATATATAACACATTATTAGTTTTATCTAATTTTGTTTTTTTGACAAAATATATCATGTATTTTACATAAAGTCATGATATTAGTATCTTACTTACTTTCGGATCAACTTCACTCTTTCAGGTATTTAAATGACTATGTGACAAAATATTTTTGGCAAAATATATCATATATCTTACACAATTATTTCTATATTGTGGTTTTTAATACCACAATAATTATTTTTTTATTAATTTTTTATATCTATAAAGTTATATATATACTATTTTAACTTTAATTATATATTTGTTATTGTTATAAAATATATAAATTTAAATATAGAACAATAGGGAAAATATATATAATGATGTATATACGGACATAAACACAAAATATATAAATTGTTAAATCTAATTTATATGTATACGTGAGTGTATTTTGTAAATGTATAAATATCTATTAATATATGTATATGTATATCCGTATGTAATGTGTGTGTTTTTATATTTTAAAAAGAGAGAAAGAGGGGAAGTAAAGGAGAGACAAATAAAATAGAGAGAATGAGAGATAGAGTAATATAGTTGATCAGTTCTCATTTGTTCAAATGATCTATGTATATATACACAATTTACAATCAATTACTCATCAAACAAGTAGTTAGGTGGCATAACCAATAAATGACACTTATTATCAATTACAATAAGTCCTAAAACTCCATCTTAGGTGTTATTAACTGCAATAAATATGTCCCGTTAAAATTTTATTAGGAAAAAAAATCAATAGGACAAAAATCCTACTGAAGAAAAAAAAAAAGAGGGCGTAATTCACAAATTAAAAATACTCTCATTGATGTGGAAATTACTTATAATCTCGTAACCGATACATCACGATGTTCTTTATCCATTGCAAACCGTTTCGATACCTTTTGAGTATATGCAGATTGTTGGATCAAAATTTTATTTTCAAAATGTTCAATTTGTAGACTAAGATAGAATTTTGTTTTCCAAAAATCTCTAATTTCAAAATCTTTTTTCAAATATTCCATAGTTTTTTGGACTTCTTCAAAGGTTTTATCTATATTCAAGTCATCCACATAAACAACTATTATCACAATATTTCTCCTATTTTCCTTTATAATACATGGGAAAAGAAAATCATTGGCATATCATTCTTTCAATAATGATTCACTGAGACGAGTATACCACATGCGACCAAATTGCTTGAATCCATACAAATACTTTTGTAATTTAAGAGAGTAACATTGTTTTGGCTTTGATTTACATGCTTCAAGCATACTGAATCCTTTAAAAATTTTCATATATATATCAGTATCTAATGAGCCATATAAGTATGCATTCATGACGTTCATCAGATCTGTATCCAATTGTTCATGAACTGTCAAACTGACAAGATATCGAAATATTATACCATCTATTAGTGGAGAATAAGTTTCATCAAAATCAATTTCAGGTCATTGTGAAAAACTTTGGGCTATAAGTCTTGTTTTATATTTTACAATTTCATTATTCTCATATCGTTTTTAAACAAATACTCATATGTTTATAGCCAATAGACTTAGCATTATCAGATTTTTATACAATAGGTCCAAAAATTTTTCATTTTGCCAGTAAATTTAATTAATGTTGTATCACACCTTTCTATTTTGGCCAACAACTTATTTTCCAACATTCATTAACTAATCTAGGTTCAAGATCCTCATTGTTTTTCATTAAATCAAGTGTTACAATATCTGCAAACGCATTATCTATAATTATAATTGTTTGATTATAATGTTTTCCATTGGTAAAATAATTTATTGAATTTTCCATAACATCATTCTCTCAGGAGAAATTATACATTAAGATGAACTTCTTCAGTAAGTTTATTAGGATCAACTTTTTCAGAAATTTGATCCATGTTACTACTTATTCATTGAGGATTTTTGATTAACATTCAACTCTTCAACCTTTTCATTTGTTTATCTTTTCTTTTGAGGATTTTTACATTTGGAAACTAAAGGTTTGTCACGCTTCAAGTGTGCATTCGATTCATTAGTACTTTGCATATGTCCTTCAGTGACATTAATTTTAGTCGATGCATTCTTTGCAGCTATATATGATCTAGTGACTCTGCTGGCATCACAAAAAGCATCAGACAATTTATTTGATATTTTCTGCAAATGTACAATTCGTTGTACTTCTAATTCGCTTTAGTTATTACGAGGATCAAGAAAATTGGGGCGGTGCTACTGGCACACAAACTGCGCACACAAATGTATGTAAATGAGATATATTGGGCTTTTCATTGTATATCAATTTTACTGGGAAGTAGCTATGATAGCTCGTCGGTCTTAATTTTATCACTATTGCTACATGCATAGCTGCATGTCCCCGAGAAGATACGGAAAGTTTAGATTTCATCAATATAGATCTTGCATTTAATTGCAACTTTTTTGTAAGTGATTTCGCTAGACCATTTTGAGTTTGTACATACGGTGCAGGGTGCTCAATATCAATTCCAATAGACATACAATAATCATCAAATGTCTTTGATTAATATTCACCAGCATTATCAAGATGAATATTTTTATTAGGTGATCTGGAAATTGTGTTCGTAATTATTTTTAATTATTTGAGCAAGAAACCTTGGAAATGCCAAATTGCAAGTGTATAATAAACCTACATACTTCCATCGAGTAGATACATCAATAAGCAACATAAAATATCTAAATGGTCCGCATGGTGGATCAATTAGCACACAAATATTATCCTGAATTCGTTCTAAATGCAAGGGATTCATTTCCCATTTTCGATGGCAATGGTGTAGTTATTAACTTCTCTTTTGAGCAAGCAATATATTTCAACTCATTTGTATTTAATACCCTTTGATTTTTCAAAGTATGACCATGAATATTTT